TTAGATATCTTTAAATAGTAGATTCTGATCCACGAAACAAGATTTTAGGTTCGAAAGTACAGTTACGTGTGATGAAGGTTATAGCACAATCACAGCGTCCATCAAAAAATGATATCAGTTTGGTTTCAAATTATCCGAGCCTTAAAAATGTTTACGCTTTACCAAGATATTTAATATTAAGAATTAATCTTAAAACTATTCCAATAGTTTGGTAGTAATTTAAGATAATTCTCTCAACTTAGGAATATTCATGGAGACTAGTATCCCGCTTTAAAAAGGCTTCGTCATCAGATTTATTAATTTATTTTATTCAAAAAAATTAGTAAAGTCTTCCAATAGTTTGGTAAGATTTACTTTGAGCCAGATCTCCTAACAGTTTGGTAAGATTTTATTTGAAAATACTTCTAAAAATTTTATTTTTTTGAGAAAGTTTATTAAATCTCTCAATAGTTTGGTGAAACTTAATTTAGGAAGTAATTCTTTAATAGTTTGATAAGATAAATATATGAGATGAATTTATTTGAGAAGATATTTTAATTTTTTTATTACTTTTGTTTTCCATAAATAAAAATAAATTTTTGGAAAAATATTTAATAAATAATAAGTTACTCAATACAAATAAATAAATAATAAAATCAATAAGATAAAATAAATAATTAAAAATTAAAAATAAAATCAAAATCAAAATATAAAATAAATAAAAAATTAAAATTAAGTATTAATACAAGTAAAGATAACGATCTTTCTTTCTTCTTTGGGATACAGAGTCACCATTAATTAATTAACGGGAGTTATAAACGCACCCAAAATTAGTTAAACATTTTGTAAGTATTTGGATATTTATTATTTTTAAAAAGTCATAATTTTTTTAAATTTTATTTTCAAAAAATCATAACACTTATCGAAAATATATTTTAAAAAAATCATAAAATATCTCGAAAATATAATTTTAAAAGTTAAAGAGTAAAATTTTATAAAAAAATTATAAAAAGAGAAATATTATTAAAAATATTTATAAAATAATGTAATAAAAAAGTTATAATTAAAAAATAATAATAATAAATTTTAAAATTAATAAAAATGTTACTTTTATTGTTTTGATTTTAGAAGTGTATATCGTCTCTTAATATGACGATTATATACTTGCTAAAATTTTTTATGACGTTTCAAAGAGTTGGAAAAATAAGAAAAATCATTATTATCATGTCCTCGATCTCATTTGAATTTGAGAATCAATAAGAAAAGTTTTGAAAAAAAATTGAATTAATTCAAAGTTAAAAATTTTCTTAATCAGTATTGCATGCCTATGAATAAAGAGATAATAAGATAATACATATAAATATTACATAATTTTGTCAAAATTTAATATGCTAATTGAATAAATCCATCGTAATAAGTAGATAGAGATATTTCTCAAAGAGTTTAGTTTAATTAAAACTATTATAAAGTTTTAATAATCACTAAAAAATATTTATTAAAAAATGATAAATTTTAAATTTATAAAAAAATTATATTTCTTATTTTATTTTTAATTTAATTAGATTTTCATAAGATATTATTCTTTCTTTAATAATAACTTTTTTTGTTACATTTATTTATAGATAATTTTAATAAAATTTACTTGTTGATAAATTTTCAAAAAATTTTAGTTCTAACACTTTTAAAAATATATTTTTGATAAGTGTTATGGCTTCTGAAAAATATATTTTTAAGAAATGTTATAATTTATTGAAAATCTATTTCTGAAAATTATAAAATTTAAGAGAAAAATATTTTAATAATTTCACTTAAAAAATTTTTTGAATAACGGTATACAAAGCAAAAACAGTAATGCAAATAGAATTCCCCATTGATTAATTCTTTTGAGTTTAAATTTCATTTAAACCCCTCTGCCATTAATTAATTCTTTTTATAACCCTTCAAATGCTACATGGTTATTCGTCGGTTGTTGCATGCTTGTAACCTTTGTATTGTAGAGGGAAAGAAAGGAAAAAATTATGAAGAATCTTTTTCTATTTGCGATGGTAATAATTGAAGTGTCTAACGCGTTTATTTTTCATGGTCAAACATTTTTGGCTTATACGTTTCTTGATTGTTTTTTAGGAGGCTTTTTCAAAAATGTTTAATTTTTTTTATAATGCAATTAGAGTTATTTTTAAGTTTTGTTTGATTTTAATTTTTTATAAATAATTTTAAAAGTATATTTTTATATTGCCGAATGCATCTGAAAAAAAAATTTGGTAGAAGACAAATTATGTTTATAGAAGTAATTCCTACATTCATTTAGGGGTTTTGCTTTGTTTGGGATGAATGATTGATTGTAGATGAAGATGTTTACTTATTTGGAAAGAATTTCTTGCTTTTTAAGAAAGCCCTTTAATGCATTGCATTGAATAGATGATGGCTTATTTATAATGAATATGCTTAAAGTAGCCTCTCAATTAATAGTGTTCAATGGACAATTAATAAGTATCCAATTTCACGCTATTTGTTATCTTGTCATTGGTTGTTGAATAGATTATTTATTTATTTATTATTATATTAATTTGAAGAAAGAAAAATATTCCAGAAAGGTAAAAACATCAGGAGAAGGAACACAACAAGGGAAAGGAAATAGGGTAATTAGGAAAGAAGAGATGAGAAAAAAATTAAAAGATGAGAGATGGGGATGGAAGGAGGGGAGGCAAAAGAGAGATTCGACCAAGTTGTAATCGGATTTGACGTATCTGAGCTATAATTGTGAGGGAAAGGTGGTTGAGTAGAGAGAAGTGGGGTTTGGAAGAAAATAAAGAGAGTTGAGAAGCAAGAGATGTGAACCATGAAGACAAGGAAGGGAGGGAAAAAGAAAATAAGTGATGTTGAAGAAAATAAGGGAGGGAAGCAAGATGTTTAAATGCATGTTGTCTTAATTTAAACATAATAGTTGTTTCTTGAAGTTTGATGTGGGATTGATAACTTGCATAAAATTTACCAAATCCTCGACCATTTGTTGTCTTAATGGATCTCTTATTAATCATAATATAAAATTATGAAGCAAAATAGAAAAATAATATCCACAGCAACACGCAGAATATTTTCTAGTGAAGGACTACGTCAACATACCTTGAAAGGATTTTTGCTTCTTTGAAGTAGTTTATACCTTATTTAGATTTCATCACAATGATGAAATTCAAGAGAGTTCTTACATTCAATTGCACATTAATGGTGTTAATGGTATAATTGGAGGCCAAAATCTTTACAAAAAAAAAAAAAAAGAATGATTAAATGAATTGTTGGATCTTAAATTAATTGTTTTAAGAGTAAAATTTAAAAATTAAAAAAAAAATCAATTATCACTGGTCACTACTTTTTATGGGACAATGTGAAATGTAAAAATTTATTAATTTTTTTAAAATTTTAAAATATTCAAATTTAAAAATTAAAATATCTCATTTTTAATTTTAAATTTTCAAATCGATTTTGTAATTTGATCATTCAGGTGACTAGAGATTGAACGACCATATCATCTTTAATTCTTATATTTGAATTAATTATAATATTTAATTGTATTAATTTTATTAAAATTTTATATGAATTTATTATTAAATTTTTGTATAATTTTTTATTATATGATTTGAAATCGTCAACTTTTAATAAAAAAAATTACGGATAAAATGCTACCGAATAAGAAGATAAGTGACAAGTGGCAAGTGATTTGAAGGCCATTCTCTCGAAATAAGGTAATAAATAAATGAAAATTAAAAGGGGTTAATCGGAAAGTGCGCGTGGGAAGATTGATGTGTCAGCATCGCAATTCACATCTCACAACTTAATACCATCATGTGCCTGGTAGTTACGGAAGGCAAAGCAAACGGGCACGTGATTTTGACACGTGTCTTTGTTTTACATTCCTGTCGTCCCCCAGAGCTGAGAGTGGTGATTGGTGAGTCCTTTCCATGCATGTCACTTTTAATTTTTTTATTATAATATTATAATATTTAATTATATTAAAAAATGTAAATTTTATATATTAATTTTAATAAATATCATATAATTTTAGATTATAATTAATTAATTAAATAAATTAAATAATTATAGATAAATTATTCTCTTTTCACCAGTTCACATCAGTCCAAATCCCTTCTAACTTTGAAAAAGCAATTACCAAACTAATATCAAGAAAATAGGTGATAGTTTTCAAAATTTTTATTAAGAAAATTTAAAAATAAGTAAATTTCTCTAATTTTCAAGTTAAGATGTCAATTAGTATGTCCATTATTCTCCAAAGGCTAGGACTAAAAAAAAAACTCAACCCATGTGGCACCCAACTGGCTTTTAATACACGAGTGTCATCCGTACGGACAAGGCTTAACTTACGTGTCAGAAAGGATAGATCGAGATTATTAATATAGTATGGAATAATATTTTAATTTTTTTTAAAAATATGATATATATTAATATCAGTGATTTTATTATGTTATTTCGAATTTTTTGATTTATTATAAATATATATAAAATTTTCAATTAATGTAATATCTTCAAAAATTAAATAAATAATTTAAAAATATAAAAATAATATCATAAATTTTTTATAACATTTTTAAATATTTAATATGATCATATGATATTTAAATAAGTAATTATCATACAAATATTAAGATAAAATCAATGATAAAAAAAATTAAACTTGGCTTCATGATTACTAAACTTTATAAAGGTAGTAGAATTAATTCTTGAAAGAGATTGAGATATTTATGAATTTTAATTTCAAAAAATAAAGTATAAAAAATAAATAAATAAAAGAAATATTTAACTTTTAAGAGTTATTTTATTATTTTATTTTATTTTATTAAGTTAAAAATAATTAAACAATAAAAATAAATTTAAAATTTTAAAAATATATTTCACATTTACGTATTAATAGAAACATATTAAATCATCAACATTTATCGAAATCAATCAAAATTAATAAAAATAATATGTATTATTTGACACTAAATTTTCATATAAAAATATTTTTTAATGTATCACATTTTAATATAATTAGAGTGTATCAACTGTTATAATGGACATCGAAACAAAATTAATAATTATGGGATAGACACAAAACAAGACCTTAACCTTAACCTCCATATCAAATTAGACAAAAACAAATCTTGGTTGATGAAGACATTAGCCAGCACGCATGATCCCAAGTGCAAGGCTCAAAACCCTTGGGTCATATTATTCTCATTTACAACTGTCTGCATCATGTTCCCTCGTTTTCTTCTTCTCAAGCATACAATTAATTTGAATGTCGGAACGTTAGAGCATACAATTGAAAGCATACAATTAATTTGAATGTCGGAACGTTAGAACATACAATTGATATGAGTGTCAGTGTATTTAAATTCCAACACCTCCTTTGTTCTTTGGTCCTTGATAGATCTAGTTCATCATCATCACCATCTTTGCAGCTCTTCTAAATCTTTTTCCATTAACCCTAAAAAGACCTCAACATAAATAAATACTGAAAAATATAATCTTCAAGTATAGAGTATCAAAATAAAAATAACAATAAAAATAAATTTAACTTTAACTCACTTTTATTTATCAAAAATATATTTATTTAATCAAAGTGTTTCATTGGAAGTATCACCTCTAATTAATATTAATGAAATATTACTGTCGTATGCATCAAAATGCAATTAAAAAAAATATGACTAATGTCATGTATTAAAGTTTATAATGCAAAAAATAGAACTAATGATTCTCTTATTAGACTAGCCTAATTATCGATCCACTTGAAACCTAATTGGACTTAATTGAAATTGATTATAAAACATATATATTTTGTATTGTTATTGAATCAAATGATTGGATGCTATATTGTTAAAACAATTCAATATATTTTTGAAAATAATTAATTTTGAATAAATCGTGATTTTTTTCATCAAAGGATATAAAATATTATAAAATTTTATATCAGATAACAAAAAAGAATCAAGATAGCATGCTTGCATGGGAACAGGGAACAGGGAACAGGGACCAGGACCAAGGCCATTGGTTTTGGTTAGAGGGATGGCAAGGGAGACAAATAAAAGAGGCTGAAAGGAATTTTAAAAGTATTTTCTTTGTTTCACTGTCTGTTGAAGGAAAGAAGATCAAAAGAAAGAATCAGAAATAGGTTAGTACGTTCAAAAATAACTTATTGCGCCCGAGTATTTGACTCAATTATACTGCAAGTTGAAAAATATTCTGCAAGTTCCAGGCAAAAATGACACTACAGACAATTTTTAGAGACTGATTTCCCGGGTACTGAAATTTAAGGGCATCTAAAAGTAGGAACAAAGAGCTTTCACTTGAGCAACTTATTGCAATTGACCGCAAATTTAAATACAACAGAGAAAAGGGACTACCATATGCAAATTCAGCAGGGGAGGCTGACCCTCTTAAGATATCAGTTACGCAGATTGCAGAAGAAAGAAGAGACAAGAAAAGAAATGGAAACATGGGTTGCCACAAGCAGAGGCTGATGCCCCAGGAAACACACTGCCATGAATGCATGCATGCAGAGACATGATGGATATGATCACCTTATTGTTCATATTGGAGTATATATATCTTGTATAAAATGAAAACACAAGGTGTAGATATGATGAACGACAACTTTTTGTCTTCATTGTTGACCCAACCTCAGAAACTCAAACCTCTTCCAGTTCCCCAGTTTCACTACAAATTTGCTGTAAAACTAAGCTTGACACAAGAATTGCAATTAACAATGTACCACACTAATTTCTATTGATTTTTAGATATAGAATGAAATTATTCTAGAACTTAATGTATTCTGTAAACCTACTTCTCTTAGTAAGCTGCAAGTTCGATTTACACCATCTATCTTACCAGTTCCTCATAATGTTGGACCATGAATGAATGAAATCAACATGATTGTACTATGTTTTCTACAATCCTCCCACCAATTACAACATTGTCGGTCTCCAATCATTCCAATTCCTATTTAAATAGTCTATAGCAAGTGAAATTTCATTCTCCATTCTAAACCATTCATATCTTTATCATCCACTCAAAAAAGTTGAATGGCCTATCTCAAATGTTAAAAGATTCAGAATAAGTTCATGACACACCCAATAAATCTGCTCGAACACCAAAACAGAGGCAATCCTCAACATCATCTAGCAATTTGAGGTTGAAAAAAGCTGTATAGTTTTAGAAAACCTCTTACAATTGAGTCATAAGCCATTCTATTCCACTTATCTTATCAATCTATATTATATCTACATGGAATTCATATATCCTGTCAATCATCAACATGGTGCCATATTGTTTTGTGAACATAGAATAAGCACACGACAACTAACTAATATAGTGTAAGAATCTACAATCTTAGATGACTACTTCATTGACCAAAAGATCATCTGTTAGTGAAAGTATATGTTAATTTCAATTATGTTTTATGAGGAATTTGAGTTATATAGGTCTCTAAACATGTGTAGGTAGGACAAGTTAATGTACTGGCCAATAATCAAGCAAACACATTGGTTTAAATCATAGGCAATGCAACAATTTTCAACTCTATGGGAAAACGTAAACAAGGCATTTTTTTCTTTGTGCAGGCATGAAGGTAGATGACATGCACGCTCATCCCGAAAAAGGTATTAAAAAATAACATAGATGTTGGTGTTTATTTCTAATATCGTATAGAAAATTTTGCCTATCAACCAACTTACAGAGCAATCTGGCTCAAGAGGAATCCACTACTGTAAACATTGCTCCCAAGTAAGTAGTTATGACCTCTAGGAGGATCAAATTGCTTCAATTTTGCAAAGAAAACAAGATCTGGTTTCTTTGCAGCAAAATATGGTGTAAGAATAAGATTATTTCTCAATGTTACAAAATTATAACAACTTCTAATACATATATATTTGTAAAAACTATTGAAGAAAAATAATCAAGATCTCACCAGTTGCAACAGTGAGAAAACTGAGATGCTGAAGTCTCAATTCATCACAGCTGAAGAAGTGCTACATGAATGGTACATTTGAGCAAAATTCAAGCACAGTAGACGATCTCTGTCATCCCCCCAGCCACCCCAACCCTTAAAACCAGCTTTATACCCTGGTTGATTGTGATACACATGCACATCCCATTCTGATCTGATATTAGCAACCTTATCAATGTCATCTACTTGAAGGTTCACTAATCCATTATCAATGCAAGCATTACTCTGCCCTTGACCCTGATGCAAACCACACTTCCCAAAGTGAACTGCACTAGTCCTTGGACCTCGCAATGTGTACACTGGACCTAGCCCAAATGAAGGATAGACAGTTGCCCACATTGTTATATCCCAGTTGTAATCGTCAAAGAAGCAAAACTCTTTAGCTTTCCTATGAATTTTTCTCCAAACAGTCCGATTGAAGGCATAACCCACATTTCCCATTCTCTCTGCAATCAAACTATCCCATCCTTCTCCTCTTGAATTCACATCACAAGGTGCAAGATTTGCAGCATAGCAATCTGGGCATTTGTTAGGCTTCAGTGATACAAGAAGCTGTAAGTTGCGATATGCATTGGGATAAATGAAGTGATCCTCTTCTATGAAAAGAATATGTCCATCATGCCCTCTGGTCTCCTGCAATCCATCCCACACAGTGTTCATCATCCACCACCAATGATGCTTCAAAGAAACTATCTTTGGAGACCGATGGTTTCCATACTGATCAGGATTCCCAATACAAGGTTTTTTCCATCTATCATCCTTTTCCTTACAATCATTCGGTGACACACCAGGAAAACTGTCAGTAAACACATGGGGCGAATAAGGAGCAAATATCTGTTTAACTTGGCAAAATTTGATCCCTTCCACAATGTTATTCATTTCTTCAAAGTATCCATCATGGCTAACTATCAATAAAGTTTCACTTATCCCCACAACCTTGGACAAGCTCTTAACAACTACTTGAAGATATTGAGGTCGATTATGCACGTATAAAACAATAGTTATATGATCTTTAGCTAACTTGGGATACAGATCTATATTCCTAGGGGGCAACCGGTTTTGTTTTTCCAATCGAATTGAAAATTCATTCTGTTTAGGAAGGTTGAGTTTTTCACTAAAGCTCTGAATATCGATAGGTTCACTTAAATCTTCATCTAATCCATTTGAAGCTGGTGTTGTATTGGTCCTAAGAGACACTATCAAAAGTGAAACCCCTAACATAGTAACTAAAACTACACACAAGAAACGTTTAAAAGCTGCATCTTTCAAACGGGAATTCCTGTTATTAGCCATGGAACAAACAAAGTTGCTCTCTTCAAAGAAGCATCAAGAAAAAAAAAAAAAAACTTCAAATTCATGCACAATCAAACAGCAAAAAGTAACAGCAACCCATTTCCGAAGACGCTGAATAAGTAAAAGGTTAAGTGCCAAAAACCTCAAAGAACAATTTTTTAACACTGAGCTCTCCCCTTGCCGCAACTGGAATCAAAGGTTTTAGCGGTTTAAAAGAAACCGCAAAACCCATGAAAATGGAGATCAAAGTTAGGATATGAGCTAAGGGAAGAGATCAAGAAAAGCAAGACAAGAAAAAAAAAAAACAAAATGGGAGGCGGATAGAAGCCAAAATCAGAAAGATCAACGGTTTAAATTACTTGGTTGACGGGTTCAAAGTAAGAAAGGAAAGTCTTTCTACAAGGAGAAATTGACTTTGGTTAAGACTAAAGACGGTGAGTTCAAACAGAAACGCGATAAATGGAGGCTTAATAATTAACAACTACTGTTTACTATGCAAGTTTGGCCCAAAAGTGGAGAAAAATATTAATTAAGCTTTAAGTTCCATCAATTAATATAAATAATGAACTCGAAGCATATTTCAATGATTTATACAATTATTTTTAAGGATTGATATTTAATAAATTTGAAATTTAAATTTTAGATTATAATTTTTATTAAAAAATATAAATAATGAGATTTAAAAGGAAAAAATAAGTTAATTTTTCTAGTTTAGCTTAATAGAATTACTGTATATGTTGGTTTATTTCATTTTTTTAGGTTTATAATAATAAAGATGTTATCAATAATTACAGTGAATTTTGGTTCATAATATATTTGTAAGAAAATGTTATAGTGATATTTATAGAAAGGATTTTGTACTTTTTTTTTTCTTAACTGAAACATTACCTGGTTGATGCTTAGCAATGAAGTGTTTCCCAAAGAATATGGTCACCAACCAAGTTGATTTAGCTTAAAGTTTAATCAATTGACACTTTTGTTTATTTTCATTTTTAACTCTGGTTGGGAGGTCTTAATTGTTGAGCCTGCCGGCTACTATGTTTTTGGAAGCAACACAGCTACATTTGCAGCATGGATTTTGTTAATTACTTTCCATAACTGGCTCTAGAAAGCCAGGCCTTGAATCCTCTAAAACTTTGAGATCCCTTCTCAATTTCATTATGTCTAATCAATGTTTCATAGACTAAAATTATAATTACCTCAATCATTTTATTACTACTAAAAGATTCAAAGTGAGAAGTCCTTGATTGGGCTTTAGCCTTCTTATGACTTGAGGCTTCAGCCTTCTTATGACTTGACTAATAGATACCAGTATTTTGATGTTTTGTTATGACTTGACTAACAGATATCAATATTGAACCTCTTGTTTCCTTGCCCAAAATACCCAATGATTTTAGTTTTGTTTTCTGTGATATCTAAATTGCATAGACAGGTGATGCACTGCACTAAGTCTGGTGATGGGAAAGCCGCATAGCTACAAGGATGAAACTGTGGGAGTGAGAGAGAAATGGGCCACTTTGGCATGGTAGTCATAGGTTGGCTTAAGATAAGGTTAGTATCATTCCCAACTTAGCTTTCCAAATATCAACTGCCACCACATCCATATCCAAAGCCATTGCCATATATGTGGTAGTCAAGGAATGCAAAAAAAAGTAGGAAATTCTTCTGAAAAATGGCAGCCATAGTGACTCTCTCTTCTTCTCTCAGCACCCAGACTCCAGTCTTACCCAAGTCTTCATTATCTGCATCTGCTTTCCCTTGTGCTCTCAGTTCACAAAAGACAAGGGTCCATAAGTTCAAAATTTATGCAAACTTAGGTATGTTACATTTTCTTTGAATTTCTTTTGTTTGCTTTTTGGTTGGATATTCAATCAAAACAATAGAGGGATGATAATAGGGAAGAAGTGGTTTTGATTTGTTAGGGGAAGCAGAAGGGGAAGTCAAGCCAAAAGGAAAGAGGAAGTTCATAACAAGAGATGAAGAACCAGAAGAGTGAGCATTCTTCAGCCATTTATTCAATAAAATTTTACATTCCTCATTCCAAGTACCTTGAGCTATAGGTAGCAGCAATTCAAGTTCTAAATGATTGAATACCAGAAGTGGTTTAAAATGAGTGCAGGTTTTGGCAAACTGCAGGAGAAAGGGAAGGAGAGAATCCCATGAAGACCCCTCTTCCTTACATTATCATATTTGGCATGTCGACACCCTTTGTAATCTTAGCCATTGCTTTTGTTAATGGCTGGATTAAGGTACCTGTTCGATGAAAATGAGAGACAGGATCTTCAATGTTCATTCACTGGATATAAGCATCTTTAATTCAGCCTTCTTGGCTTTCTAATGTAAGCATATGTTGTAAACACACTTGTTTTGAGTATTTATGTTCTGAGTTTTGCAAGCAAAAGAAAAAAAAATTGTCATCTACAATCATTCATCATAATGAATGAAATGTACCAAACTGAGGATGGAAATACCAAAGAGACATCTCTCTCTACCTTCAATGCAAAACTAAAGCATTTCCTCCAGATGTAAGTACATTCAGACTACTGGTTTTGAATCAGTTTTTTTAGAAGAATAATCATTCATCGGAGTAAATGTTGCTTGGAAGATTTCTATTTTACAAGACCTTGGGTTCAAAGTCAAATCCACGCCTCAAGGTGAATATGGTGCAGTCTGCTCAAATTTTTTAGGTTTTGGTTATTTGTGTTTATTGGGTTTAAGTTGACATTTCCGGTGATCCGGATTGAGTTGGATGACTCTCTAAAAGTTGGTGATCTACACTTTGTCAAATTCTGCCATTTTCACCTAGCTAAAGATGACAATCAAGTTTATATTCAGCTTTAGATTTGAGTCATCTTGGGTTTGCATTGTTCAATTTTCATATCAAATCATCAATTGAATTTCGATTATTAATTTCCTGAGTAAATTCAAGTGAATCTAATTAGGTTTTAAGCAAATTAGAGCAGCTTTTACTACATTGAGCTTCTCCAAATATGATTCCGTAATTGCAGTCAGTTCTAACTACTAGTTAAACATCTGCAAATCAAGCCAATCTTCTTTCTGCATTTCAATACTCAATATAACAATAGAGGCTCAGTAATGAAAGGTTCCAACAAAAAGTTAAGTACTGTCTGCAAAAGGAATAGCACCTGAAAGAGCATGTTCCTATGGCAAATAATCCTACTTCCTATGCTAAATCTTTTCTTACCCACCATAACCTTTGTCATTTTCCTTTTCATTATGTCAACAATATCAAATAGTCATAAGCAGTATTAAATATACTAAGTATAAAGGTTTAATTTACCTATGCAAGGACTTGTATAGTACGACAGTCACATATTTTTGAAGAAACCGGTGTGTTGTGCAAAGCGCCACAGACTGACCATCATCACCATCTTGTCTGTAAAGATGGTTCAGCAGTGTATGAGAAGGCCTTCGCGAGAACCCATGACTCCTAATAACAAATGATTGCTCATCCAACAACTTTGTCCGAAGCTGTGGAGGCAGTTCAGGCGGAGGCTTGCTGAAATCATCATCATTTAGTGATTGATTGTCATAGCTTGATATCGGAGAAGGCGGAGATTCGAACTCTGAGAGGCTTTCGGGAGCCTCTGGAACAAACTCCTGTTACAACACATCAAGAGTGAAGCTGGGTGTGAAAGAACAGCATCAAGGGATAGTCTAGCTTTTAATGTTGATATTCAAGCAATAAATTAAGTAATATATTGATATTCAAGCAATAAATTAAGTAATGCATCAAAGATCATTACACCATAGCTATTTAATAAATCAAAATTGCTATATTTAAGTCAATTTTGCAGAATAAGCGGCAGAATCGGGGTGAACAGAACTTGGACTAACAACTATAAATCCCGTTTGCTCGTTTGAAATTTTCCAAGTCTTGTTGCCGCAAGCACATATCATTAAAGCTTTTAAAACGATGTAGAGGCTTCTGTAAATTCCATATGTCTGACTTTCTATGATGAATTATGTAAATATGGCTTGCTTTCTGGAACATAATACTTCCCCAAGTGTTGACAGCAATATAACCCGGTGAGACTTTGGTGTTATGAATAGCTTTATGGAGAATATGTGAAGAATAGTCAACTCAAAGTAGCAAAAGAGAAGCCATGGTCACTGTCAATCATAATAATATGTTTAAAGCCTTAGCAATTTGCAAGTACCATATACAGGCTCGTATCATTAGGATGTAAGTAGCAGATTTATATCTGCCCCTTGAAAACGCTAGCATTACAGCAGATATGAGCCCTTGCTCAAAGCAACTGACAGACCATAGATATAAGTCCCCAAAAACATTACAGACACAACTGCATTTTCCCTACCTGTTATACTGCCTTATTGGCAACCAGAGATCATTAATTTATCTTGTTCAATCAATTAAGGTTTTTGGTTGCTGATACAGCACAAGAGGAAGAGCAGTGGCTGGTAGCTAAACCAACAAACAAGTTGCCTGATTTAATTGCTCGGTATGTTAATAAAGGGCTGTGTATCGTATTTAGCTTCGGTTTAGTCTATTTGTATCAGAACAGGAGATGTAAGAAGCAAAAGGGAAAAGGCAGTCAAATATGTTTCCTAACATTGCATGAAGTCATTATTGTTAAGGATCAAAAGCTGATAAATAGCTGCTACAAAATGATTTTTTCCACAGAAAAAAAAGTGCACTTATCTAGCTTTTGGTTATTTAACAAGCTAGCATCCAGGGACATGCCGATCTCTGCCTGCTCTAATCTGCAATTTAAATGTAATGCATGGGTGATAAGAATCAGATTTTTAACTTCCTCTCATGCCAGCTTATTTAGATCCTATTATTGGCGTCTCTGATAAACAGTACTTGTGGAACAAAAAATCAAATATCAGAAGGAAAATGGGACTACAAGTCATTGTAAGGTACTCTCGGCATTCTTTCCAATCTATAAAACAGGTATCTCCTTAAGATATTGAATGCCAGAATTTTTCACACATAATTCAGGTGCTATGGAAACATCAATGTCCTTATGCTTCAAAGAAGGAAAAGATTCACTTTTTCTGGTGTGGGAGACTTTCTCAATATGCTAATTACTTTCAATATAAAGTTGGTGACAACAGAGAATCGCACTAACTATTCTACTTCTTTCAATGCTACTTTATTTTGACTAAAAAGGCTTGGTCAGAAAGTAACAATCACAATACTCAACTATTTGTAATGGTGTATCACTAAAAAAAGAAGCTTTAAAATACCTGCAAATCCAAAATGTTATAAGCACCCCCAGACTCGTCAAATTCCCAAGGCAAGTTTGGATCATATGTCATAACATCATCCACAATGAAGTAGTAGTGGTAAACACCTGATGGGAGCATCTTCATGATAATGAATTCTTTACCCAAAGAGTGCAAGGGTTCTCTAAAAGGAAGAAATAAAAGTTCCTCATTTTATATTGTGAAAAGAAAAACTGCTCAAACTAAAGAATGAACCTTTAAAGATAAAAACCATAACAAATTCCAGTACATGGTCCTCCAGTTATCCCATGATCCAGTAATAGCTACTTTCTTGCCACCAAAACACCATGCTATCATCACTGCTCTCTTCTCCTCTTGGTGGAGATCCTCACAATATGCTGTATTTTCTACCAGTGGATCATTTTGGATTTGCATCATTTGACCAGGTCTTGGGAAGGGCGCCTCATGGATCTGGAGAAAGAAATGGAACTCAATTTGGATTTTCCTTTACATGTATCTCCATGTGTGTGTCCTTACATATGCCAAACTATAATGTAGATAATAGAAAGCCTTCATAAGCAAGCACTTTTTCATGTGTTGAACAAATATTACAATTACTTTCGATTCACTTTTGGCATAATGCTCTATCCCATTCAAACATTATAGTGACAATAAAGCATGTATCCCATCAACATTCACTACATTTCACGTACAACTTTATAATCTCAACAGATAAAAAAAAATACTGTCAGGAAAAAGGTCTAAATTTTAAAGCAACCAAAGATAAAATGGAAATATCACTGACACAAAGATAGTGGAGATAAATTCCATTAGCTTGCACAGGTGAGCTGATTATTATCACTAAAATGAAAAATGAAACTAGTCATGGCAAAAAGGTTCATAAAGATTGATACTTTCAAGCATAAAGCAAATAAAGAGTAGCATATATTTGAGTAAGGGTAGAATTACACCATGTCAATTTTTTAAAGGCAATGAACTGTTACATTTTGCAACAATGGAATGTTACTTTAAAGTTTAACCCTTTACCATAGAAAAGTATATAATACAAACATCAGTAACAACTAAAAAAGGCAAATGAAAGGATATATTACATGAGGTGAAATGAAATATTCCATTTACTCAAACACATTAATTTGGTAAAGAAACAAAGAAATACAAGTCCATTCCTTTGAAGCAAATTAGAACATATGAACGCAAACCATAAAACAGGCTGTAAATAAGAGATCCTCCAAATATAACAGATAATGGTAGTAAGATCCAAGGTTTCCTTATTGTTCTAATTGGCAACAATCAAAAACTAATTTATCTTGTCCTACAATGAATGAAATGGTAGGCTCGTGGCAACATCAATTTACTAGTTTCTTTTTTATGTAAAAGTGGAGACCTACTGGATTTAAGTATTCAGCAGATAAAGGCAATGTTGCATATGGCTTGGTTTCAGTCTATTTGCAACAGCAGCACCAATTCTAAAGGAGATATTTGGAGCAAAATGGAAAAAGAAGCGTATGGTTTTTGGACAAGATATTAATTCATCCTATAATCTCATTCTTAGCCACGTTCCACTAGCTCAGAGCATCCAATCACTTCCTTCAGCTCCTCTAGTGTTCCATGAGTTATCCTTAAGTGGTAGGTAAAAGGTCTATCTTGTCTTTTCTACTGCCTTCTCAGCAACTATAGATGATAAATTTATCTTTTTTGGTAATGACTAAAGTGACAAGAAGCCAAATTATAAACGGAGGAAAGAAGTAAAGAAAAGAGAAAGGTACTTGATTTAACTGTTTTGGCAAGTAAGAAGCTACATTACCTTTTATAGAAAGGTTCCAGCCTATGTGCAACAGGGCAGTAAAAACTGCAATGATTCTGTACAGAGCTACTAATTCAACCCAGATTCTCATTTTTCTTCTTCAAACCTTCCAGCCGCCATACTTGAATAATTCTAATATTAGCGTTGTGTAAATTATCTCTTTCTAGATAGCATTGCATTTTCATGAACTATCGTTTGGTGGAAGTTCTGGAATGCCATTATTCTTCCTTTTTGGTATTTAGGACTTGCATTATGTAGAGATGGAAAAACATTGCAATCAGCTGTTACTAATATCCTCTCCCATTTGGTATACGCCAAAGATAACACATATGTACCATTTGGTTGTTTGACATGGTCCAGATCTTGAAGTTCATAAAAATAAAACTTTTAGATGCCTCGTGCTATCTATTTTATTGTTTATACTATTTAGCAGCACCTTAGATAACAAGTACTTGCTAATCAAATGTCTTAGAAGCTTGTCGTGTGCCGCAAACATGACAGTTCACCAGCAAACCTCGGTTATTCTGTGAATCCCTTTTCTAACTATGCTACATGTATGCTCCAATCATACACACTTCAGATGGTCCAGAAGCATAATGGTGCCTATGCTATTAAGCAATCCTAAAAGTTACTATATCATATATTATGAGGAAGAGATACACTTAGTAAGCAGAATACAACTTCAAAACGAGTTAAAAATAATCATGGTGCCTATGCTTCCAAGTTCCAACATACTTTGTCCCAACACCGCTTGCTTTATAAGAAAAGTTAAAGACTCGGTCCAAAAGTACACAATGAGAAAGGAAAGAAAAGAACTATATCAGTAGTCGCAATCAAATTGCCAAGTCATTAATAACAGGGCAACAATTGAGAAAGAAGATTTAAATACCTGTAAATCCAAAGCTCTACGAGAATCGATGCATTCCCATAGCAAGTTATTCTCACTATGGAGATCCTCGTTGTGTGTAGGGTTTTGAACTAGCACATCATTTTGGGCTTGCATCATTTCTGCAGATCTTAGCCAGGGAAACATAGGGATCTGGAGATAGCAATGCAATTCAATTCAGAGGTTTTCTTTTTTTGGTTAATAGATGTTGTCTCATGTATGCTGCTTGTCTTTATACATTCCAAATTATGATCAAAACAGCAAGCCCTCATGAGCAAGCATTCAAATGTCATTTTCAGGCACAGCTATGCATTGACACTAAAACTCAATAGAGATGCTCTTTTTCCTTAGGAGATCAATCTAAATCTAAAATCACATACCTATCTAACAATAACAACTTTTTCATAAATCAAACAACTAGCATCCCAAAAGCTTGAATATACTCTTTTAAAAAGCAAAGATTCAACTCCAGCAAAAACAAACTATGATAAAGAATATGTCAAAACATACTATGAAAGAGGAAGAAATAATTTGCAAAATGAAACGCTGAGAGATGAATAATCAGCAAAGATCAATATTTTCTGACTACACAAGGAACGCCAGAGGGAATATGAATACAATTGGTAGGAAGTTGAACAATTTTTTTATGCCGCAACTTTTAAAGGCAGTAGTGGGAACTAATTGCAACATGTAAAATAAACTAAATAGAAAACAAACTTTACTCAAACAATATATATATATATATATATATAGGAAAAGCCATTAAAATCATCTCTCTCCCATGTTATTCCACCATTGTCCCCACCAAAAAAAGAAAAAAAGGAACCAACCTGTGGAGGGAATAGGAAAGGAAGCTGATAAGCCTCATTAGGACTATGGGGAGGGGAGTGAAGCATGGGGTCTGAATTAGACTGCTCATTATCCACTTCATATCCATTATTCTTTGCGCCTGAGGTTCCTTCTCCATCTTCTCTACCACTAGCATTACCCATTACTTCCAAACAAAAAGAAACAGCCCAATCAGTTAAATAACCACAACCACAACTATTTAACTCCCAAAAACCATCACTTCCCATGAAACCAAATTGCAAGGCAGAACAAGAAAACAGAACAGACCCAGAAAACCAAAAAGCAAAACTGACCAAGGACACCTGATGTAGGAGAGAGAGACAGAGGTTTGTAACTCACCCATCAAGTGCAACTGGACTGCACAATCACAAGAAAGCAAGCAGAGAAATAAGTCAAGGGAAGGCACCATTATTTCTGCAACTTTATTTTATGTAGATTTTTTTATTTGATTGATTGATTGATGGTTTAACTTTTAATGTGAAAGTGCAATTTGTCTGCTCCCTTTCTCTCTCTCTCTACTGGTGGCAGTTGAAAAATAAGAAAGGGTGAAACAACCTGAATAATGAAAAGTGAATAATATTCTCCAATGAGTTTGGAAGATCCTATGGTGAACTCATGGACCAACTAATGATGTTGGCTCAAAATCGAATGTCGTTTGTGCCACCAAAACTCAACTATTCCCCCTGTACACGCTGTGCCCTTTTCTACGGTTGACACCTTGAAGGAATCATCTCCTGCCACGTGTCAACACACCAATTAGATTTCATCATCTTTCTCAAATTTATCTGTGCCACCCTTTGAATCTTTTGCCCTCGTTAGAAAACTTCCAATTGGTGATGCATATTTTGAATTAATCGCTTGTTTCAATTAACATTGATGAGTTTTTTTTTTCATATTTGAGTCATTGATAATCATTGTTAATGAAAATGCATGACATTTGTGAGAAACAATAATAATATTTCTTAGTTAATGAAAAATAAAAAATTTTGTTTTCATTTTCTTGGTTTGATAAAAGAAAAAGAAGATAAGTGATTTTGTATTTTTTATTCTGCAAATTCAATCCTTTCAAGAGAAAAACATTCATTTAACTTAAATTAATAATTTTATTTATAATTTTTTTCTTTATTTTTTTTTCTTGTCCAACAGAATGAAAAAAAAAAAAAAAAAAAAAAACTCACTTTCTTTTCTTTTCTTTTTCTTACCTTTTTAATTCCCTCCATTTTTCTTTTTTCTTAAAAAAATAGTGTGAAAATTCAATATTTTTTCAACGATTATACGACTACGACAACTTTAAATCTTTTATATTTCTTTCGAGCATATTGCTCCTGTGGTGTTGCATAAAAATTAAAATAAAGTCCTAATATATTATGCGAGTAGATATTTAAAAAAGTTACATCCAAGCCCCTTAAAATCCGTCCAACCCTTGGAAGAAAGAAACTTTGAAAAATGGCAAGCAGGTCATAGGGTTGCTTTACCAAAAAACGTAATGGCTACCCCAACAGGTGCAGCGATGTAGCATATGAAATGGAAAACTGCCATGCGAGAAGCTTTTGTAAAGTAGCATATACATATATAGGAAGCTTTCTTTTCTTGCTTTTTCTCGAGAAAGTTATGGAGGGATTGACAAGTTTAATTTGAGCCCTAGCCTAATGCAATAAAATGCCCTTCTTACAAGGACCAAAGTGCCCATCTTTTCATGTGATCATGACTTGCCATTTAATTTTACTAACTAAAGATAAAAGTAAATGGGAATATAATCAATATATGAATATGCCTCAAAGTATATATATGTATATATATATATAGGTTTAATGTACCATGAATTTAAATATGAAGATAGAGAGACTTGATGGCTTTTGGAGCATGGGAGAGAGAGCAAAGCATGAAGGAGGCTTGAAGTAAGTGGACATCTCTTTTTTCTATTCCTCCAATCAATGATAACAAGCTCTAAAGTAATAAAAGATGCTTAATTACCCAATAGGCAATGGCCAAACCATCCTAGGCTTGTAGGTTTCTACCCCCAAGTCCTAACAAATGTACTGAAAACAAGGGTCCTTTTGTTTTCATTTGAAAACAAGGGACGTTGAGAATCTAATGAAATTGATTATTTTCTATCCAAGAATCAATAGCAAAATAAAAAGGGTAAAAAGGACAAGGCAAAGAAAAAGAGTGTTGTTTTTAAGGCATGGAATTCTTCAAGAGCAGTTTTTTTTAGTAATAGGATTAGTCGCATTTCATATTTTATTTACATTTAATTTTTTAGATGATTTTAAGAGTATAGTTTTATATTTGATTAATACATTTAAAATTTTGTTTTCGAAATATTCATAAAATTGAATCATGATTAACGAAAAAAATGAAAATCTTTTTCTTACAAATTGAAATTAAAATTGTTTAAAAATAATCTCACCGTAATTAAGTTATTTGATCGTTGACATGTGCTAGATAGCTACTAGGCTAAACCAATATAGAGAGTTTTCATGACAATTCATGAATTGCGATGAGATGTGACAAATGAGAGAAATGAAAATCTACCACTACCAGCATGGAGGCATTCGAACATTTTATTGACAATTTTAAAAAATTTGTCCGTTATAAAATATGCTTCATTATGAATTTTTATTCATAAAAAAGTATTTTTAGTATCTTTAGATGTTTATAAATACTTTCATTAATATTTATTTTAAAACTTCTTCACATCAAGTCTCTTAAAGATCATATCATTGTTTTTCATTATCATTGTTGTATTTGTAAGTTGGATGAATATAAAATGAATATGGCTTTTAAATGTACTGTAAATAGAATAATCATATAATGCAATAATTCTTTTATTATATTTTAAAAATATTCCAATAGCTTTTTTTTTTTTGCAAAAAAAATAATAAAAATATTCCAACAGTTTAAATGTATAGTCAATTAACGAGATAGCAACGTCTAAGAATAGTTGGACAATAAAGTTGGAGAGAGAAATCATTAGTTTTCTTTATTTTTTGCTTTTGATTTGGACCATGTATGTAAAAATCATTTCTTTCATTTCACGTGAATTTGCTCTAACCGTCGTCAAAGAAATCAAACATTAAGATATGTGGAATCATATACGGCATTCCATGTTAGGAACCAATTCCAAAAGGGAGGGGCTGTGTCTCAAAAGACTATTCATTTTGCTTTTTGGAGCAGGAAAAGAAAATTTATAATTGGAACACAAAGAAAGAAAGATAGAAAGAAAGAAAAGAATTAATACAAGTCATATAGCCAAATAAACCAAGCATGGGTTGATGAAAATCCGAATCATATCAAGAAAGTAATTTTGATGTGAAATTATATTCCTAGTCTTAACTTGTGTCTAATATTCTCTATGATCTATTATTGTAACTTAAGTTTTACGTTTATTATTTGAGTATTTTAGTTAATGGTGATGAAAATAGTAATTTAAATCATATAAGAGATTTGTTTGAAATTAATTAAATATTATTTGATAGATAAAAAAATTTTGTAAAAAAAAAAAATCTAAAAGGAAAGTAGAGTCTTTATAAGGTTAGGTTAGGTTTTATAGGATAAACACTTATAAAATTGTGGGAGATTAATGTCTTTATGGATGTACATGTTTATGTTTGTTTGTGTTAAAAATATTTCATAAAACTAGAGAAGATTAAGAGGTTTTATGAGTATTAATTGTTGAGTGATTGATATGATTTGTATGTTTGTAAATTTTTATAATTATTATTTTTTCATCTGTTGATGTGGGTTGTTTAAGATGAATCACGTTAAATTACCATTTTTTAGTGATTGATTAAACGTTTCATTATACTTCTACTAGTTTGAATGTTTAATTGATTTGGAACTTTTTAACTTAACAATTGTTATCAGAACTATCGTAATCCTAACAAATGATATCAGAACTGAAATTTTGAGACAAGGAAAAAAGCAAGCCTATAAGAGCTTAATTTAAGAAAAAAATTCGAGTTCATTTTTTTATATCAATTTGCATGAAACGTAAAGACATAAAGAGAAGATTGTTATGAAACTTCTATTATAAGTAAAACCAATCATGTCTAGTATAAAAATTTATGATTTAATAGAATTTAAATTAAGGTGAAAATTTAATAATAGTGATTTAAATCTCATAAGAGATTTATTTGAAATTAGCTAGATATTACTTAATGGATGAAAATACTGTAAAAGAAGAATTCTAAGAGAAAGTAAATTTTTTATAGACAAGTTAATATACTTATAAATAGAAGAAGTTTTTATAAGGTTAGATATGAAAAAAATATGTAAACAAGCTGTAATATTTTATTGAGTAGATACCCCATAAGATTATAGAAAATTGACATTTTTATGGATGTATATATCTGAGTAAATTATAGAAGAATAAGATAATCCACATATGTATGATGCATATGCGCATATGGGTATGTATTTATTTGGGTTGATAATACTCTATAGAATTAGAGAAGATTAAGATGGTCTATCGATATTAATTGTTGTATGGTTAATATGATTTGTATATTTGTAATTTTTTTATAATTAGTGAAAATTTTTTTTATCCCTAAACGTATATCGTTTTGACTGAACTACGTTAAATTACTATATCTTATGTGATTAATTGATCGTTTGATTATACTTTTGCTGACTTGAATGTTTAATTGATTGTGAGCATTTTAACCTAATAATTGTTATCAAAACTATTATGATTCTAACAAATGAACGATGATAATTAGTAAATCTGCTAATCTATATATCAACATTTATATATTTTATGTTAAATACATATAAAACATAAAAATTATTATGTCATAATTTATGTTGATAGTCAAACACAAAACATTTTTTTACCTAATTCACATATGATTTTTATTGAAAGTTTAAATTATATTGTTTTCATTTCATTTAAGTATAATATTATTATATTGTATCTAAAATTATCAAATATAATAATTAAAATATGTATTTCATACTCAAAATGTTAAATTTGAATTTTTCTTTTTCTCGAATTAAAAAAAAAGTAATTTTTAGTATTTTCATTTTTCTTGCAAACTTCAACAAAGAGATTATTATTAAATTAATAACATGCTTAATTATTATTACAATATATAGTAAGGTTCCAGCACAAAATCTAATCACATGATTTTTCAGGGTGGCAAGAGAACTGGTGAGTAGAAATGATGGGGACAGGTTCATTTCATGATGAATCATTTTAAGGGAGAAAGAGTGGGGGTTGGATCCAATTTTCCTTTTATTGAGTTATGTTTGTAGGATAAGACATGAACAAATATGGTATATACATAGGGGTGGCTAACTGGCTCTAGCTAAAGTGGTGACACAAATCTTGTGATTTTCAGAAAGGAAAATCTTCTTGTCTGCCATTCCTTTAGTTGCAAGTAAACATTCTCTGTTTCTAGTTTGAC